GTAAAATATTTCACCGAGTAAACATGTCCCTTATCGATCGCGAAATACAGCATTATGTTATAATATAACCTTAGAACTGCTGTATATTTTTACCCGTCAAAACAATGAATGTAGCACAAGTGCTAGTTAGACTGATACGTTAAAGAAATGAATTCTAATGTACTCTAATATCAGTCTTAATCTTTCATGTTATTAATTAGTTTTTAATTAATTTATTTTACAATAAATTCAGCTGTGTGCCTTTCACTTATGTTCAATGTCTGCTATGATTATTGGTAATACAATGTTATCATTAAATGTCAACTTTAAAATAGAATCATTTAATATCTTTCATAGGTAATCTGTTATTTTGTTTATTGGTACTAGTCGATGTGACCTATACGTAGAAAAAGTTCGAGCTTTCATCGCAAATTTATTGACCCACTGACTACTCCACGTCGCATTTACAATGCTGATAATAATAGGTATACAATCTTTTTAGAATCAGCATCTTGGAGGCCAATTACTATTCGGCTCAGATAATTTCTGGATTTGGATTCGATGTTTTGGATCTAAATTATTATTTCCGAATTTTTATTGATCACAGGTAAAACGACAAGTTTTCTAATACCTTATCCTGTTCTGTCTTTTTACAGATGTACAAATGCTAAATTTCCGGAGCATAAATGCTTACTTGTTAATACTTCCGCATCCTTTTGCAGATTGCTAATTTTGTTTAAAACACAGCATAAGTAGCATATATTCTAGTATGTTTCATCATGTCAATGCTCTGCCTTTCATAGTGGTATGATTTCTGTGTTTACATTACTGCCTAGATCCGTTTATATGAGCGAAACATCTCTAGTTTGTCATGTTCGCCGTATTCGTATCTTTTCAGCTCTTTCGCTATAAAGTACTCCCTCTAGCATCGTGCAAGGAACGATTGCTCTTCAAGTACGAATCTCTTTTTACCCTTTTTCATCCATTTTGCTTGTTGGGCTCCTGATCAGCATATATCTCTTTCGTTTCTAATAATAGGCTTGTGGGCTAAAACATTCTTTTTTGATCTTCACAACTATTTAGGATAGTTGTGTCCGGAAGAGTATAGAGTCATCCGTTACGTAGCCCTATCATTTATCCGTCGTTATATGTCGAAACCACGTTGCTGTGCGCAGTAGAATCATCGTTTTTAGTCTTTCTCCGTGCTATACAGAAACGTTTGCCTGTTCGATTCCATGTACTTGCAGATTTCCGTTGAAAGTGTTCATTTTTTCTCAGCCCAAATGATTGGGCAGGTTGGCAAATGGTTCTGTTTGGCCGTAACTGAATGAACCATTGGGGTGACAGAGCTACGTCATGTTTATATATATATCAACCTATTACCTTAGTCAATAATCAGTGACATTTTCTCTGCCATTTAGTCTTTCGCGGGAACATCCTAACGGATCCGTCTCACCGAGTACATAATATGGTGTCTATTTGCAAATCGAAGGAGAGATTTACCAAGCGTACAGATTTAAATCGAATGTGCTTTCGTACTGAGGCTTTAAAATTCCAGATTTTGAAGTATCCTCATGATTTCAGTGACACGTTAGTACAAAGTTGCTATAAAGTATTTTTCTTTTGCTAGCTATATATAATGTTTTGCCAAAGTGCTGGAATTGCTGAAAAGTGGATACTTGTTGTCCACTACAGTTATAAACTAATCTAATCTAATCTGCGTATTCCAAATTAGTATGATAAGTGGCCAGACATTTGGTACTGTGCATACCTATAGAGCGAAAGCCAAGTCCTTGCTAGATTGAGCGTTCTTCCACAGGAAGCATTCAAAAACATTGTTGAATAGCAGAGGCAAGCTGCATCTCTCTGACGACCTCCATTGTTAATAAGAAACCACTAGACGCACGACGTACTGAATCAGGTACCGCCTTCAAGATGACGAAAGTGTGAAACCAGGCGAAGTGAAACTCTCCGTGTTGCTCCATAAATAACGTGCATATTTCATGAGTGCAGGACTTTCTTTCACAAAAACCTGTTATATGAATATGTCCGTTCAGCGTATTTGAGAAAATTTACGAAATTGTTTCCCATGAATTCACACTAGCTTGATTTCGCAGAATTTGAAAGTTGAATCTGTAGGTGCTTATTCAAACATTGTGATGGTGTTCACGCACCTCTGCCTTGCTGCAAAATTTTTAAAGCTACGTTGTATGAGAAAGGTCATTAAACGTTTTTCCTTTCCCGTTTGTCAACGTTTGATTATAATCGGAAAAGTTCGATCTGTGACACGTATTCTTCTGTTTGATAGATAGCAGTGCATGAATATGATGCATCTTCATTATCCTCTGATAGTCGCACAGAATTAGCGGTGCGAAAATTTAAATTTTATACCACCTATTGAAAACCTGTTGACATTGCTCATGTTCAGTTAAACTTCCATTACGCCTGAAATCATTCCTATGAAACGGTGATTGATTTATGTTTAATGCAGTCACGCATTTTTTAGAATGAAAGATGGTTGCCACTGGGACGAATTCGCTCATAGAAAAATGACCGAATGCATAATCACCTTCTTGCATGATTCATGGGGTAGAGCTTTGCCTTCTAACACATTGAAAGCGATTGCTGGGTATGAAATCTTATTCTGAATCAGGAAGTTGTTGATGATAATTTGATATTCTAAAGTGTCTATAATTTTTTAACAGCTTAACGGTTACGCTTTCTCAACAGAAGCCTCAAAATTTTGACACTTATTTGAAATTAAATTCAAAATATTTATTAATTATTTATTCCCGTTTCATTGCTTAGATAGTTTAGTTATTAATGAGGGAGCACTCGGATACTTTGGACTCCGGAGCAAAATCCGCCACGTTCTTTTATCTCAAAGTGGATAATCACCTGTTGGTTAAGTCCACGATGGAGAAATTATTTCCGTTTAGATGAAGGACCTGTTTCATACTGATCGTTAGATTGACTTTGGAAAGATCAGAACAGTGTGGATATTTTGTTGAGTGCGAGTAAATAGTGTAACGATGAAATATAATTGATATGCATAATTACATAATGGGTATATTGACAAGAAAGATTTCTCACTGTTTTAATATGAATGATCAGAGGTTTTCTCCGGAACCTTCATCCTGTTCTTTTCCACAGGTCCTTTGTAAAGATAAAGATTGTTCCCAAGTTGGGAATTCATCATTTTGGTGACTGATCATGTTGCCGTTGCACTTGGCGAAGTCATTTGACAGTGCACTGTAGCTCCATGCTCCGTTTCCGGTTCTCGTTGATTTTGTTTGTTGCTTTATGCCAAAGTATCGCCTTGAAATTTTTACTTAACATTTTCTTCAATGAAATAGAAATATTATTCAACATACATTATGGAGTGCGTCGAATAAGAAAATTGTTTTCGTTCTAGATTCTAACTGATGCGATTCATCTTCTGACAGCAGAAATTCTGTCTGCTTATCTAGTTATATAAAACTGATGGTGGGAGCTGGGCTATTTTAATAACTTTTCTTTAATATTTTAATTGTTCACTATTTCGAGCTTGTCCGGATGAAGGTTGACTTCTACTTTCCTCCTTGAATCGAGAATTATCACAAGCATCCATTTTGTTCATTAACGTAGTTCCACAGAGTCAGGTTCTCGAGCCAGATTAGTTGCATATCCACTTATTGATGTATTCTTCTCGTTTTCCATCCTTCTTCAACTCGATAATAAGATGTTTCAGCCGCTGCATCTGTTTTAACGATACTCCACTATGCTGCAGAATGCACATTGTACACAGGACCACAAAATATTAACAGTTGTTATTTATTCAGAAATCAGTCGTCATACTTGATTGTGAATTGTTTTGAGAACGCTCTTATGATAAGCTTTGATGATTGCCAATGAGGCATGGATATCTGCAAACAACCGAAAAAGGTAAGTTTGTCATGTCGGTCTTCCTTACAATTTGATGATTGGGCTATTTTGGCAACCTTCGTTCCATCAAGTTGATGGTGCAGTGTTGATATTCGTTTCTCTCATCAGCCAGGAGTACCTTATTTTAAATGCACAGTCTCCAAAAGCGTAGCTTGTAGTGTTCTGTTTATTTCCTCTAGAGCGGTAATCGTTATTCAACCTCTGATGGAAGAAGAGCAAGTGATGCCGACCACGGCTCGAACACGGGACCTCTCGATTTTTAGTCCAACCCTTTTCTAACTGAGCAACCCCGGTCTGAAGTAATGTGTGGTAAATTCCTTGCCCAAGGGAATTCATATGTAAGGCAAAGATTACCATTCGTCAGAGTGGCACTCAGCGCATCTGGAGTTCGGAAGAGACCTCTTAGGCACTAGGTCTTCAAAACACTGATTTTTTCTCTTCCTTTACCATTCCTGACGAACCTATCCATGTGCCAGAAGTTGAATGCTGATGGTGAAACGTCTTGATTTACCACTGATATTAGCGTATAGCTATATAGAACGTAGTAGAGTTTACCACTGATCTCGTATTGCAAACAGGCCAACTAATTTGATG